TCTTTCCCTGTCTCGTCTTTCCTTTCCTTTATTCTTCCTATGGTCAAAACTGATTTCTCGCCCTCTTGGTGTGCTGCTGGGCGTCAAATCGTGACAAGAAGTTAAATGTGCTCTCAAAACCCACTACCTATCTTTTACATAAGAAATCCAACTGTGCCCTGATGCCTGCAATCGAGTGTCCGTTTATATTCTTTGGAGAAAAACCTGTAGCAGGAGGCCGCCCCTGTCTCCTTGGCCAGATCTCATATGTTCACCTGAGAGGTCCAGTGCAGCTTCTCACCCTCACACTTCACACCGCACATAAGAGTCACGAAGATGACCACCGGGGACTTGGGGGTCTTTTGCACTGGCTGCCAGAGAAGATGGCTATCAAACTTCACCAGCTGGCTATCAAACTTCACACCACCAGCGCCTCGTCCGGGGTCTCTTCCAAACGGCACAAAGTGAGGCTTAGCGCTCAGGCATGCAGAAAGAGAGAGCCCAGGAACATTCTACTAGATCTAGATCCCAGATTCTCCAGAAAAAGCTGGATCTTGATGAAGCGATCTTCAGCTCTCTTTGGGGGTGGGCAAATGCGACGTTGGCGGGCTTTTGGGGGGGGGGAGTCCGAAAAATGACTGTCGAGAGGGGCTGAAGAGCGCGCCTCCTTGCAAATAGCAGCTCCCCCGCCGTCCCGCTGAAACCCGACTCCCCGCGGGAGCTGCTACCCAGAAGCCAGAATGGATTCGCCAGCCAGCGTGGCTTCGCTGCCCGCCTCACACACCAGACACAGGCGCAGGGGGAAGAAGTCAATGTGGCCAGCAGCTGTGAGAGGGGCGGGAAGGGAGGCCGGAGGGGACGGCGAGTGGCTGCCGACCGTCAGTTTCTGAGTGTGGAGGGAAACGACACCATGAGCTTTGTCCTGTTCGGGCTGCGCTCTCAGGAAACAGTCGAGGGCAGCGCTTGGGAGCTGGTTGCGGAGGTCCGGTGAGATTTCCTCGGCGGAAATCTTAATTTCTTAATTCCCAGCCTGTGAGACAGGTTGGTTGGTGGCCTTGGGGAAAGCACTCTGCACACGCTCGGTGCCCTACTGTTCTTTCTTCACCTTTGGACCCATCGTGCCGATTTCTTGGAAGAAGAGCCCGCGCCTCCTACGAGGCGGGGTTAAAGGGCGAGGGTGGGACTACGAAGCCACTTGCGCGTACAGGAGATGCTCCTCTGCCTTTACAACCGCTTCAGGCAAGCTGAGGCACAGAAGTTCTGCGACTTCCCCCCCCCTTTTTTTAAATGGTGGTTTCTCTGCCTAGAGGGGATCCACTTCCGAAGCGTCACCCAATCCGTTTTCCGCCGACCCTGCGCGGTTCTCGCGCAAGAAGTCAGCAACGGTGTGGCCTCCCCCTCGCCCCCTTCCGCTCTTTTCGGGGCAGCTCACGGATTAAGGGTCAACCGACTCATCCCCCTGCCGCCCGAGCTAAAGTCGTCAGGGAGGTGGTCGGAGGGCCCGCTAGGTCCGACTACCTCTGGCTCACTGGCAGTGCCGGATTTACGCATAAACTAAATAAGCTACAGCTTAGGGCCTCGCAATCTGCTGGGGCCTCAAATAAAAACACAATATAAAAAATGATTTCAAATATTAAAAAGGCGTATATATTTTAAATTTTTCTGAGACCAGCTGATTTAATTTAAAACAGTAGGGGGCCTCTGGGTTTTGTATAGCTTAGGGCCTCAGCAAGTCTAAATCCGGCCCTGCTCACTGGGCTGGACTG